AATAATAATAATAATAATAATAATAATAATAATAATAATAATAATAATAATAATAATAATAATAATAATAATAATAATAATAATAATAATAATAATAATAATAATAATAATAATAATAATAATAATAATAATAATAATAATAATAATCAGTTATTTGTGATATTTGTTCGCTTACATTGAGAATTTGGCAAGTGAAGTTTTACAAACAGTGACATCTGAATAATATTGAAGTTATTGTGCTTAACGAGTTCGGTAATTTATTTGAAATGAAAAAAAAAGAGGGAATGAAATCAGTGACTTTGTTCAAATACTAAAAATACTTTACTTTCTGTTAAAGGTATGTTAGTAGTAGTGTAAAAGTTAAAATTTAATAAAAACTGACTACTTACGAATGTAGAATACGATGTAATAACACGAGTAGCGAAGTTTATCGTAGTTAATTTGTTGATAAGTTCAAATTCGAAATATAGGAGAATTGATAGTGATTAGGATAGGCAAAGGGAATAGTCTTATTAAGAAACACAGTTCACTGGGAATTGTTAGTTTCTGAAATTTAATTGAGAGAAAAGGAAGCAGATGATAATCGGAAGATGTTGACGATCAAAATGAAAGGTCCAACTCTCTTTTCTAGAACTTATATCGTCAATGTCTTTACAGTATACCAACAGCTTTACATACCAGATTAATCCTTAGGCAAGTAAACTTTAGATGCGAATAAGCATACCGGACGTGTAAACGTTCCCACTACAGGTTCATTATGAGATTAGAACATTTTCATATGATTTGAAGATAAGTGATTCATCACTTCAGGAATAAAAAAACATTTATTTAATTTTTTTTAGTGTGATGTGATGAATCATTTATTTGGTAAATATTTTCAATAACTTTTATTTCAAACATAATATTGCTTTAATACGTTACAAAATTTCTCGGTCCTCTAACAAAAACCTGTTATTACTGCTGGACAAATAACTTATAGGAAGTCGTTGTTTATTATAATTTGGAATCATTTCAAGAAGATAAAACTTTCATTCCAACAACCTTTCTAAAGCTTTTATTTAACATTTTAGCATTTTAATATTTTTAACATTTTAGTGTTTTAAAATGAAATTTTAACATTTTAATGTCCTCACATCAAATTTTGCAGATCACAGCAGTGGATCCGTTTGCAACAGCAATTAGTAACGAATCAACAATTGTGGCATCATCGATTTCACAACAAAATGTATTACATATGATTCAAAACAATTCCAGTTCGAAGATAAATTTGTTAGCTACTTCCAGTTTTCTGAATAATTCTGATGGTATATCAAGTGGAACAGTGGAATTGAATCAGACAAATGCGCTTGATAGAGGTTTTAATACCGATGCTGTGGTCAGGATATTCAATGCAACTTCATCGTCATTAAAACCTGAACAGGAAACGATTATTACCAAAACAACAGATGGAACTACGATGGCGTTAGAAGTGCAGAGGATACCTGAAGAAGCAAAAGTTACTGTAACTGAGAAGGACAGGAAAAACACTACTTCCTATACAACGACTATGTTTAAAAGTTTGTTGCTGGAATTGCTATAATTTTATTGCTGAAAAATTCATATGAATGACGATCTTCCCTGGGAAAGAATTACGAATATGTCTTGTAATAATTGGTAAAGCAAAAATGAAAGTGGTAGAATTAATAAAAAGATAGAAATTACTAGAAATCAAGTAAAACAATGGTTCCAAACCAGTGATCTGCAAGAGCGGTGGCACGGTAAGTAACAAAAAAGTGGCGGCTTCTTTTTTTTTTATTTTTTAAGGGTGCTTTGAATCGTTTTAGATGTTAGAAGTTTTGATTAAAGTTTATTTTATGTGTGTTTACACGTCAAAGGTTTCGATTAAAGTTCGTTTTCAAATTAATTAGAATTTATTCAAGGAATTTATTCAGAATTTCATCAAATTAAAAATCGGAATTTATCATTTGCGAACTTATAGTCCCTACTACGAATAAAAGCGCTAAAATGGTCCTGTCAAGAAAAAGTTGAGAATCATTGCCGTAGAGTCTTTCCGAAGTTGAATAAGAAGAACAAAAATTTTGAAAACTGACCTTTCTGGAAAATAATTAAAATTTAATTTCATAACTCATTTCTTATGAAATTTTTTGTTATTCATCCCAACTTCTACTCCTATGAAGATTTGTATCCTTATGAAATATAACTCTCTAGTAGTTATTTTAGCTTTAATTACGGAAACAACGCCAGATATCTTCCACACTACTGCGGCTAATGTCGTCATGTTAGTAGAGCAAACTACAGGTAAGTCATATCTTCACTGCCATATCACTTCTTTCAAAATAGCATAAATTATTGATTGATAAGTAATGTCTTTCTCGGTTTAGCCACCTAAAAAAAATTTTTAAAAAAAGCTTTTCTGTGATTAATTTCTCTTTACTCTGCATGTGCTATCAGAAGATTTCAAACAGTATTTCAAAATTTCCATTCTTCTAGGAATTCCAGTGTTGCATCCGATCACAACACGTAAATTTAGTAGTATAGGTACTGATGAACAGTCACAAATTGTAGACGATGGAAACATTGTTGTTGGCATGTCTGGAAAATACCAAACTTCTCCAGGTACCACAACTTTTCTCAACATTTTGTAGGAAAGAATTGATTACCTAATTACGTTTCCAATTCCTTTTCACAAACTGTCGACTTATTTGTCGAATAGATAGGCAAAGCATTTTTTTTTCTGTGCGATAACAAAATGGTCTTCAATAGCATTTTGATAAGAGTGAAATCACATTCCCGAATTTTCACTTATTACAGTAACTGAATCGCCATCAGTAACTTTGTCGGAATTCGATATTCACTCATCATCCTTTCAATCGTCAGCTGATTCATTTGTAACAGAGCCGTTATCTATCGAAATAAAACATCAATCGGAATTACCTAAAATCTCTACCACATCAGTTGAAGTAATAACTTGATCTGCTTAATTTTAACTGTGAAAATTAACTTTTTGGAGATAAAATATTAACGTCAGAGTTGAAAATATGAGCTGAATCCATAATTTTTCTCCAAATATTCCTATTGAATCGTATTAATATCAGTGTTCAAAATCTGATAAAAATGAATAACTTATCGAAATGTCCATTTTTAGTTGTCACCAACAATAACAAATGAATTCAATACAGCTAAGAGCCAAGAACAGGATAATGAACATGAAGATGAGAATCTATTTGTTGCGGACAAAACATTATTCAGTCAAGATGGCGTCATGAAAACAGATTTCAATGGCATGCATTCGGTTACCGGATTCGTTACTCCAACTGAAGTGAATTAATTTCAGAATCAGACTTTTTCTTTTCAGTTGAAATCGGGTCACAAAGTAAACACATGAATCAGTGATATTGTATTAATGGATGGAGTGAACGAGCTCGATTAATAGCTAAGATCATGAGCTCTTATCAGGATATTCTAAATGTTTAACATTCGGTTGGGTTACACTCATTGCTGTTATTCCGATAATTCTGAAAGAAGTGGCGCAAAAGTCGAAAGAATTGTTAACGCGAAAGCATTGTTGTCCCTAATCATCTCGTTAACATTCCTTATCTTTCAAAATCTATTCTTTATGATTCTTTTTGGTCATCCATTGGACTTCAATGACAGCAGTCTGAGATATTCAGAATAAAAAGCTAGTATGTCTACACAGCGCTTTAATTACTGCTTTTTTTTCCAATTTTTTTTTTTTTTGAAATTGATGGTAAGACCTTCGAGAAGGCTTTCGCTTAAACCTTTTAATTGAATTATATCGTCTTTAACGCTCAAATACTTGCAAAAATCTCAGTGTTTTTTATAAATTAAGAAATTCAACAGGATATGCAAATTAAAAAGATATTTTTTCGGACTTTTGGATTTCTCGAAATCTCTTCTGATTTTGTAGTCTTGGTTTTTAAATTCATGAGATAATCTGGATGAACTGAATGAACTTAGAAAACTTGCAAATCCTAAAGCAAGCCATCTGTAATTTAGATGAATGAAACTTGAAGGAACAAATATTTCAAGTTTCAAATTACTGTTTAATGCAAGCAGTGCAAACATGTTTATAATTTTCAGATGTCTGAGGAAAACTTCGGTGTGCCTGGTTTTTTACTTGTCGAAGAACTGGGACCGGAAGCTACAGAAGAAATCCATCAAGCGGTAATATTATTCGCTTATGATTTGATAAACGATCAGTGAGAAGTTTACAGCATATAGAAATTGAACTTTAGTCGATTGACCAAAAATTTAATTAAGAATTTCGAATCTTTATGCATAGTGACATTTACAGTTACACTTATATGAATTGTAACTAAAAATTTTTTAAAGTAATTTGCAGGCGTAGAAGTTGAAGTTGTCCTGGAATAGTTTTCCTCAAATCCAAATCCAAATTACCGATTACAAGTTTTTATCTTGAAATGCTACATTCATTAAACTTTGTACACTTAAGCGTTCTTCCGTTCTTCATTTTATTCATTTAGGTTTTGAACTTTGTACTTCAGGTAATAGTTGAAGTCCAAATAAAATAGGATATAAAAGTTATAGAAGAAATCTTTAGAAATTGCCATATAAATAAAATATAAACTGTTTGTTCGCCATATTTCAGGTAACAGATACTGTGATACGCAATCCCTCAACTACACAGTCATCAAACACTGAATTTAAGGTGTGCCTTTTTTTTTGTCTTTTTTTTTGCTGATTATTAGAAATGTTAGTTGACACTGTCTATTTCCTTGCGAACTACAAAAGAAATCTTTCATCTGCGATATATTCTTCATCTTCACACCTATTTGCTTCTGTCCAAACTTGAAAATAAATTATTAAATCGAAAGGATTTTAAATTCTTTTTGTTGTATTGCAAAAAAAAGTTAAAAAGAATTCATTGAAATAATGAGTATTTTGTGAAGGAAGGTCAATGAATAATAAAAGATTTATGCATGTACGCTTGCAAATTAAGCTTTTGTAAAGTACTTGTTCACAGGTGAGTCAAAAATGTTTGAGTACGATAAATCAGTGAAATGAAGAAATCGTTACAGGTATGGACAGGTATGCCAATCGATTTAACTGAAAACTCTGATGATTTAAATGAGCATCATAACAGTGAGTCTTTCCAACATTTTTATAAATCATCACCTTTTACCTAAATTTGAGAAATTCAAACACTTGTAGTATCAATCAAAGGATTTCCAGAGATAATGCATTCTTTATGAACTGCTTGGCTTTTGGTATAAATGTTGCAAAACCATTTGGCTAAATGCATTGTCATCCCAATTATTCCAATGTCTATTTCTACATATCGAAAAAATTCCAATTTTAAACTTCTTTCATAAAATGGCCAATAACGTATGGGTTGACAGAAGAAGCCCTCAAAATTCTAGTCCATTAATTTTCTCTTTAAATATCATTTAATCATTGAGAGTTCTGTTTTTCTTGCAATGTAAAATATCGTAATAATAGATTGACAAACAAATAGAAGGACAGACAGATAAGGTTATGTTGTTTAATCGTAAAAAAACACGAAGAATTATTCTACAGGTGAACTTACTTCTGTTGGGAAATCAGAAACAGCGAGGAATTCATTCGAAGATATCGGGGATTTAAAGGATATCTCAGTGATTGATGATGATTCATTTTATCATACAAGTTTCCTTTCATTTCTTTTTCGCATTTTTTGTGCTACATTTATAAAAAAGTAAAAAGCATTTGTTTATTTTAAATAACAGAATTTTGCACAATTTTGCCTTTGATCATCTCTGAGACAAGAGGGTGATGCTTTTTAGATGTGGAAGAAGGATCAGATCCTGCATTCAGACGTATCACTGATGAACGAAAGTCAGAACCAGAATCAACGTTACAACCTGAAGCAACACGTGAGCCTGTGTCATTCCCAAAAAGCGGAGTATTAGTGTCATCAGGCAAAAATCCTGAACCAGTGACTGATTTTAAACCAAAAACTGAATCAGAATTTATTGTTCTATCCGAAGGTAATTGAGGAAAAATTTATGGAATTAATTCAAGATTTTAAATACGAATCTGAATGTTGAATATTTAAGTATATGAAGAACAGATTTATTGTTTTAAATTTTTAATTTTTAAGATTCTAAAGGAAGTAAGAATGATTTAAATGGTATATTACATACTTCTCACACGCACATCACTAATTCTCACGATGGTATGTTTTAATTTATCCTTTCACTTATTTATTTCACTTTTACTTTTCTCTCTGTCTTCTCGTCTATTTACTTTATCTCAGATCAGTTGAATTTAATTATCGATCGTATCCAATAATAGATGTAAGATATTATTTAATGAAAAACGAAGTTAAGTCTTACAACATACTTTAATACACTTTGTTATTGGTCTCAGAATATGAGAAGATTTTCAATGGAATAGCGATAGGGCATTCAGTTGAAAAGTCTGTAGAAAAATAGAATTTGTATTAGTTGAGCATTTCTTACTAATTAGTAACATAGGCATTTGCAAAATGAGCATCATATAATTGAAATTTAGCTTTAGCTGAAATATTAAACATATCACTTGAAAGGAAAGGCCGCCTAAGATAAGGCAAGGTTTGTCAGGAAGAAAATTTTTTCGCATTAGAAAAATAAAAAGTATTTTCATTTTTATTTCATATGACATATCCGGTTAAATGATATATGCTCAGGTACGACATATCTGGCAAAATGATATATGCCCAGGTATGACATATCTGATGAACAATTTAATTTTAATATTATACGCAAATCGTTCTTTTCAATTTCGATTATTCTTT